CGCACACACCGACTCCAGCGTCGAGGAGGAGGAGAAACCGGAGGAAGAAGAGGAGGAGGAGGAGAAACCGGAGGAGGAGGATGAAGAGGAGGACGACTTCCCTGATGATTTCACTTTTAAAGGTGGACCGAACTTTGCTTCATCTGAGTGTGAACGCGTTTATTATTGATCACACAACCACATCTACATGATTATTACTACAGTATGGCACTTAATGTCTTTATTCGCGTTCATAACGAGGCATTAAAGCGCTGATTCACACTTAAATTCACTTTTAATCAGATTCTTCAGTTTCTCTGTTCACTAAAGAGGCTGAGGGGCACAGGGCTGACTCTGAGCTGTGTTCTGGCAACTTTGGCAAATGATACTACACATGTGGAAGCAGGTGAGACACTGGGTCAATATAGGGCAATGAATGAGGTACAGATACAGTATTATAGCCTTAAAGCTTAATGCATTTCTCTGAATGATTCTCTTTTCTTCCTGTTATTGTATTTTCTCCTGAATGCAGTGATGTTACAATATTGTGTTCAGTTTAAAAATCAAGTCAGTATACATATATACAATATTATTGCCCACTCTAGTGAAGCAGCATCAAACTGCCCAGCAACATCGCTTGAGAAGTGGCCCTGTGCATCCTCAGCCTCGGCACTGGGCTGTTGGTGAGCGGTGTGTTCTGTTCTCAGTGTGTTATTATTCCACATAACTGAAGCTTTTGTCTATTTTTAATGTTTTATTCTTACTCAAAACTCTTTGCTTCTGTATGTTTTAGTTTGAAGCACTTTAAGAACTAATATTTAAAGGCGCTTTATAAAAATGAAGTATTATTATGGTTAATGAGATATTTTGAAGAATGCTGAAAACCATAGAGCAGACGCAGGACAGGTACTGGGGAAGTGGATGGGCACAGGTGAGGGCAGAACAGCTGTGAAGTTCGGCTCATTTCATACAGACCCAATTTTAAAAGGGAATGTTTAATATAGGGCGTCACGGTGGCACAGTGGGCAGCACAATCGCATCACAGCAAGAAGGTCGCTGGTTTGAGTCCCGGCTGGGTCAGTTGGTGTTTCTGTGTGGAGTTTGCATGTTCTCCCCGTGTTGGTGTGGGTTTCCTCCGGGTGCTCCGGTTTCCCCCACAGTCCAAACACATGCGCTATAGGGGAACTGATCAACTACACTGGCCGTAGTGTATGAGTGTGTGTGTGTGAATGAGTGTGTATGGGTGTTTCCCAGTGATGGGTTGCAGCTGGAAGGGTATCCGCTGCATAAAACATATGCTGTAATAGTTGACGGTTCATTCTGCTGTGGTGAACCCTGATTAATAAAGGGACTAAGCCGAAAAGAAAATAAATGAATGTTTAATTCAACATCTAGAAAAGTAGAGCACCACCTCATGTCAAAGGTCATCCCGCTCATTATGCTGAGTCAGAGGGGCTAAAAGTAACGGTGTATGCTGGAGTTACCAGCTTACTCTCCTGTATATGAAAGATTCCTGATTATGGTCTCGTTAACTACAAACACATTTTGCCATTAATCTGTGCATAAAATATTAAATGTTCCATCAGAGGATTCTAAAGTAACCCAACACTACTAAACCCAATTATTTATTTTCTGTTTATTATTCATTTATATCAGGGTTTCTGCAGGGTCTTAAAATCTGACATTTCAAAAGCCTAATTTAGGGCCTTAAGAAGTCTTAAATCCATTGAAACATTGTGCTGTAGGTCTTGATCTGTTTACACTGGTCTTGATTTTCTTATGTTCATGTAAAGCTTTACTCTATACAAAAACTAACAAAATATTTCATTAAAAGTTTTAAGAAATGTTATTTATTAACTCTATTTTTAAATAATATGGTTTATTTATCTTCCTTACAATAGCATATGTTTGAAATGTTTTATTAAGGTTTTAAATTGGTCATTAAAAAAGTCTTTAAGTCTGAAATTGCATTTATTATAGTCTTAAATTGTTCTTAATGTGTTGAATCTGACTTGATGAAGCCTGTAGAAACCCTGTACTATTGTCAGTTTGCATTAATGTGAACAGAATCTCTATTTAAACACTGTGAGCTGGATTAGCAGTGGGATAAAGGTGACAGATGTTTACCTCCTCACAGGAGCTCTTCCCAGTTCCACCGTCTACTCTCACACATGTGCTGGTATAGTCTGGAACACGTGTTGTTGGAGATTTGGGAACGCTGCTTTAGTATCTTCACACCCGCTCGCCTCTGAACAGTTATTTTACACATCTTAAAGTCTTCCAGTTTCTTTCTTATTCTGTTCTAATATGGACAACCATGAAGATCAATAGGGAAAACCAATATTTTCCACATGAGTGAGTGTGTGAGTGCGTGCGTGCGTGTGTGTGTGTGTGCGCGAGCGTGCGTGTGTGCAGTATTGATGTATTTGTCGGTGTCTTTGTGACTTTCAGACTTTGAAACTTCAGTCTCTAAATGTTCATGTGCAGAAATATTCAACCCCTAAATGTTGAATCCACTTCTGTTTAATTCCTCCCTGTGAGCGGCCGCAGCTGTGTCAGTATTGTAGGCTTTAGACTCTCGCTCAGCTTGCTCTCATCACTGCCATGATTTTTAGGCATTATAGTGGTTGCTGCTAGAAGGGATACAGCTGCAGCCAGACGTTACCGAGAGTTATTTATATCATTTATTAAATTACCCATTAATTAATGTGTACCCTAACCCTCACTGTAATGTATAAACAGTCATGAGAGAGTCACTGACCTGCTGCTGTAGTGGTGTGTGTCTCTGCATCTTCTAAACACAGCTTATTCTGCTGCTGACTGAAACTAGTATTCTCTCATCATACTCCTCTGCTGCTCCGCTTTCCTCCACAGTCCAAACACATGCGCTACAGGGGAATCGGGTAAGCTGAAATTGACCATAGTGTATGTGTGTGAATGAGTGTATGGGTGTTTTCCACAGATGGGTTGCAGCTGGAAGAGCATCCTCTGTGTAAAACACATGCTGGATAAGTTGGCGGTTCATTCCACTGTGGCGACCCCAGATTAATAAAGAGAAAAAACAATCACCTAAGCCGAAAAGAAAATGACAGAATGAGCGAGTTTGAGTGTTTATCACTCCTCGTCATTTCTCCCACACACATTCAGAAAGCATTCACAGAGATGAGTTTACTGTAAACAACTTCATCTGTTTACTCTGCGGGCAAAGCTCTCACACACACTATACTCCACATATCTGCAAATATGCTGTCATGGCTTAGCAATCAATAAATGTGATTATAATGGAGGTCAACGGGGCGAAAACAGCACCAACAGAACCAAAGAGGAGTCAGTCTGAACAGAGTATTGAGTTTTTGAACATTTTCAAAGCATTTTCCCTAAATATGTGTCAAAGTATGAATTATCAACAAAAACATCACTTTTACTGAAACAGAGAAAGATGAGGCCAAATTACGACTCAAATTCAGCCCAGAGTGGATAAAAACGACCCAACAGCACGCACAGGGTTAATATACACTCCGCGGCCACTTTATTAGGTACATCTGTCCAGCTGCTCGTCACAGGGCAGCAGCTCACTGCATTTAGGCATGTAGACATGGTCAAGAGGATCTGCTGTAGGTCAGAGTGAGCATCAGAATGGGGAAGAAAGGGGATTTAAGAGACTCTGAACTGGCATGGTTGTTGCTGCCAGACGGGCTGCTCTGAGTATTTCAGAAACTGCTGATCTACTGGGATTTTCACGCACAACCATCTCTAGGCTTTACAGAGAATGCTCCGACAAAGAGGAAATATCCAGTGAGCGGCAGTTCTGTGGGCGCAAATGCCTTGTTGATGAGGTCAGAGGAGAATGGCCAGACTGGTTCCAGCTGATAGAAAGGCAACAGTAACTCAAATAAGCACTCGTTACAACCGAGCTCTGCAGAAGAGCATCTCTGAACACACAACACGTCCAACCTTGAGGCGGATGGGCTACAGCAGCAGAAGAGCACACCGGGTGCCGCTCCTGTCAGCTAAGAACAGGAAACTGAGGCTACAATTCACACAGACTCACCAAAACTGGACAATAGAAGATTGGAGAAACGTTGCTGCTCTGATGAGTCTCCATTTCTGCTGACACATTCAGATGCTCGGCTCAGACAACATGAAAGCATGGATCATCCTGCCTTGTATCAGCGGTTCAGGCTGGTGGTGGTGGTGTAATGGTGTGGGGGAGATTTTCTTTGGGTCCATTAGTACCAATTGAGCATCAACGCCACAGCCTACCTGAGTATTGCTGCTGACCATGTCCATCCCTTTATGAGCACAGTGTCTCCATCTTCTGATGGCTACTTCCAGCAGGATAACGCAGCATGTCATAAAGCTCAATCATCTCAGACTGATGAACATGACGATGAGTTCACTGTACTCAAATGGCCTCCACAGTCACCAGAGCTCAATCCAATAGAGCAGCTTTGGGATGTGGTGAACGGGAGATTGGCATCATGGATGTGCAGCCGACAAATCTGCAGCAACTGTGTGATGCTATCATGACAATATGGAGCAAAATCTCTGAGGAATATTTCCAGCAGCTTGATGAATCTACAACACCAAGGATTACGTCAGTTCTGAAGGTGAAAGAGGTCCGACCAGTACTAGAGGTGTACCTAATAAAGTGTTTAATTGACACGAAGAGTATTTCCTATAGCATAATGAAGTATTATCGACACTAAACAGCTGAAAGTTTGAGGTGGGTAATTAAAGAAGAAACGAGCTCTTTCGTGTAGTCTAGCTCTCCTGCCTGTCCATCTGCTACTCATGAATCAGCTCAATACACTGATGTATCATGACTCAGCTCTCTGCAGTACTGCACTCTGATTGGTCGGTCTGCACAGGTAAGTTACTCTCAGCTGATTAATGTGTACACGTGTTCATCTTCTGACCGCATAATTAAATAGGCGAGTGAGTGAGTTGTAGTTCCTCTGTCTGTAAGCTTTGTGTAGTTCAAGAGCTAGTAAATGATAGCGTCAGTGTTGAGTGTAATAATCAGTATAATGCAGATCCAGCCGGCGGTTATTCAGTCTTCTACAACTGCACTGCTTTATTCTGGATGAACCCAACAACATACTCTGACAATACTGTACACAATGTCAAGCCTACACTAGACTAGCAAGACAGAGACAGATCTGATGTTCAAGCCGAAGTGTTCCTCTCTAACATGTGGTTTAGCTAATGTTTTAACAAGGAACATGAACCGTGAAGAAAACAGAGCTTCAGTTGTGCTGTTAGTGGTGGAAAACTCTACTGTTATGCCTGATTCCCTCCTTTATAAACCGTGTGTGTGTGTGTGTGTGTGTGTGTGTGTCTGCAGCTCCTCCTCCCAGTAAGTGCAACAGGCGGGTGTCAGGTAAACACAGCTCTACACCAGTAACACAGCTTCATCTGCCTAATCCAGTGCTTCAGCTTGAAGGTGAGATGTTTCTCGTGTGTGTGTGTGTGTGTGTGTGTGTGTGTGCTCCTCCAGTGTGTGCGGAACCCTATAACCCTGATGAGGATGATGATGATGGTGATGAAGGCTCGCAGCTGACCGTGCTGCACCAGAAGACGGATGAGCAGCGGCAGCGGCTGCAGGACGCCTGCAAACACATCCTGCTGTTCAAGACCCTGGAGGAGGTCAGCGTGCGTGCACACACACACACACACACGCACACGCTGATCACACACCTGTCTAACACACAAACTGACCACAGGCCTGTCTGACATCTGTATCTGTGTGTGTGTGTGTGTGTGTGTGTGTGTGTGTGTGTGTGTGTGTGTGCATTCAGGATCAGCTGGCGGAGGTGTTAGACAGCATGTTTGAGGTGTTGGTCAAACCTGGCGAGTGCATCATCAATCAGGGTGACGACGGGGATAATTTCTACGTCATCGAGAGGTGAGGCCATGTCCTGTTTCCATTAGTCCTTCTCTGGCTGTACTCGCACTATGTACAGTTGCCTCACACCGGGCCAAAGCACGCTTGCCCCCCCTCCCGTCTCCCCCGACGGCCCGCGCTCACACCACAATCAGGCCTGGACACGCTTCCGTCATCGCCGCTGCGCTGTTCAGTGAAGCGCTGTCGCTCAGCACAGTGGAGATTCCTCTAGTGATATCGTGTCAGTGGTTTGATATGCAGTGACATGCAGTCAAATATCTCGCCAAACAGTCCTTAGGGATGCGGGGACATGCAGTCAGATATTTCACCGGCCAGATCCGCCACTTTTGGGGCTCATAAACAGTCATAAAGCTCTCGTGCTGCAGGAATGAGCAGGTCTGCTGAGGGTGCAGCTGTCGTGCTGTGAGGAGTTTGAGTCTTTAATAATCTACGGCAGTTTGCGATCACTGAACAGTAAGAATGATTAATAAATCCAGATGAAACAACCCCTTAAAGTCTCGTCTCGCTTTCAGTTTCGGGCTTTGGCGCGTTTTGTGCTTACACTACAAGCATACCACGCCAAAGCCCAAGTGAACCGCCAAGAGAACCGTGCCTGAGCCTGATTCAGCGCACTCACACTTCTCAAATGATCCGGGAAACGGGCCTGAGCACGGTTTAGATAGCATAGTGTGAGTAGGCCCTCTGAGGACATGCATTTCAGCTTCACACACACACACTGCGCCCCACCTCACACACTTACACTCCACTCTAAAAGCGTCAAACTCGACACACTGCAGTTCGGGACACTTTTATTTACTAACACTAGGACGGGAAGCTGGTGAATTGGGACGCAGCATCAATGTTTTTAGCCACACCCCCTCTTATTCTTAGCCACGCCCCTCTTTCCATGATTTTGCTATTTGCTCAATATCAATATCAGTATCCGCACACTGAGGTAATTCAGTCGTTCTGTAGGGCACAAGAACACTTAACACTTGGAGGAGAAATCCAGTGTACTTGATTTAACGGTGCAGCACATGAGTTTGACACCCAGTGGTTGAGCTAGGTATTGCATTGCTCGTCCAAAACACACGCAAGCGCAGGTTGCCAGATTGAGGACCAACAGGAGTGACCCTGACTATCGAGCCTAAAGGCTGACTGAAGTCCTGCTCGATCTAAAAGCAGCGGCAGAAGGAAGATGGAGTTTTGTCCTGACCTGCAGCTGAAATGAATATATTAGAAACGGCTTCAATTCCTCACAGCTGAACAGCAGAGCGCTGACAGAAGCGGTTCACTCAGCCATATCACTGCTGATTGTGGAGATCTGCATATGTTAGAGTTGCTGAAAAACACATAACTGAGTAGAATCAACTCGATATTTGATAAAGATGCGCATGAACTATGATGGAAACACTTTCACTGAACAGTGTGTGCATTACAGAAGGTGATGTGCTCAGCGGCAGTGGTGTAGTGGTTAGTGTTCTGACACATGCACTCCCCAGCTCACGGCGGCGACCCAAGTTCAATTCCGCCTCGCCGTCCTATGCTGATCCTCCTGCTCTCTGCTCTCTGTCATTTCTCTCGACTGTTCTATCCAATAAAGGTAAAAACTAAAAAAGCATTATATAAAATGATGTGACTCTGTTGAGAGATTGTTTTGGTCATTGCTAACATTTCAGTATTAGTGTTATTATATTATTAATGACCTCCAGAACCTCCAGCTCACGCCTGCACTGCGTGTCAGCATCGTCTTCTGAGGCGTGACGTCTAAAGTCATTGATTAAATAAAGAAAAGACTCCGGCAGCTTCTCCTACTGCAGTATATTCAGCTTTTACTGTAGACATTTGGCTCCAGTTCATCAGGAAGTGGCCGTTGTGTTGTCTTTGACTCGCTGGATGGAAACGCTGCTTTATACACACGCCGTTCAGCCACAGTCGAGTTTTGCACATGCATTTAATTCACATCTCTGGATGGAAACATGACTGCTGATTGTATATCAGCTACAGCTCATGTGCTTAACTCAGTGTTAAATGCTGCTAATGTGACCACACTACTGACAGCTGCAGAGTTCAGCTCAGATCTGGAGAACACAATAAAGCGTCCGACACTGAACTTCAGAACTGAGACCAACACACATCAGTGATTCAGCATCTACTCATGTTCACGAGCTGTAATGTGTGTTGATGAGAGTATGGAGCTCAGCGCTGTGCTGGAGTCAGTGAGTCCGCTATTCTGTGCTTCCTCTGCTGTAAACTGCTCATCACTGCGCATCTCCTCATGCAGTGTGTTGTCAGCACACGGGGTTACAGTGTGACCTGCTCATCTCATGTTTACACTCCTAATATTGATATTATCTGCTCATTATTCACCTCATGTGGAACTCTGAATCTGCAGCTCATTACAGAGTCTGCTGCTGTCCACCAGAGGGCGCGTTTCAGTCACAGACGTACACTTAGATGAGTGCACACATGGGCGGGTTAAAGAGACCAAACACAGACAGCCGCTCCGGCACGTAACACACACACACACACACACACACACACACACACACACGTTCACAGCAGAATATCTGACTTGTGTCTCAGATAAACAGGAGTGTTCACTGCGCATGTTTCTGAATATCTGCACACACATGATGCTGCTTATACACTGCAGAAGAGTCGAACACACACACACACACACACACACACACACACTGCAGCTTTAGTTTATTCACAGTGTTGAGGTGTAATGAAGACAAAGAACTAAGTTTCTGTGTGTGTGTGTGTGTGTGTGTGTGTGTGTGTGTGTGTGTGTGTGTGTGTGTGTGTGTGTGTGTGTGTGTATGTGTGTGTGTGTGTGTGTGTGTGTGTGTGTGTATGTGTGTGTGTGTGTGTGTGTGTGTGTGGCAGGGGTGTGTATGAGATCGTGATCCAGCAGGATGGGCTCCAGCACTCAGTCGGCCGCTATGATCATAAAGGCAGTTTTGGAGAGCTAGCGCTGATGTACAACACGCCGCGCGCCGCCACCATCAGGGCGCTCCAGGAGGGGGCACTGTGGGCACTGGTGAGGTCACTTCCTGTACAGCACCTCCAGCTTTCTGTGACAGTGTGTGCGTGACTGTGTGTGTGTGTGTGTGTGTGTTCAGGACAGAGCCACGTTCCACAGACTCATCGTGAAGAATAATGCTAAGAAGAGGAGGATGTACGAGAGCTTCATTGAGTGTGTGCCGCTGCTGAAGTCTCTGCAGGTGTGTGTGTGTGTGTGTGTGTTTCAGCTGTTCTCTGGTGTTCTCTCGAGCATAAGAAGATTGTGTGTGTGTGTGTGTGTGTGTGTGTGTGTGTGTGTGTGTGTGTGTGTGTGTGTGTGTGTGTGTGTGTGTGTTTCAGCTGTCGGAGCGTATGAAGATCGTGGATGTTCTGGGCATGAGGAGCTTCAGTGACGGCGAGCGCATCATTCAGCAGGTGACGTCAGCTGATCAGCTCTGCTTGTAGTTATTCTGAATGTCCTGCAGTCGATCATGTGTGTGCAGGAGAGCAGGACACACACCAGAGCTAGTTTCCCGTCTGTGGGTATGGTGATGAGAGCATGAAGAGGCTGCGCTTCTGCTGTGTGTTCAGTGCTGACGCGGCTCTGTGCTTCCCTCAGGGGGATTCTGCTGACTGCTTCTACATCGTGGAGTCTGGAGAGGTGCGGATCATGATCAGGAGTAAGGTGAGAGTGTCTGCTGCAGGACACACGGTCTCTCACACGTCTGTGTGCATGCTCCAACATGATGTTCTCTACTGATGCAGTTCTGTGTGTGTGTGTAGACCCGTGCTTGTCAGCTCCTGCAGGAGGAGGTGGAGGTGGCTCGCTGCTCCAGAGGACAGTATTTTGGAGAGCTGGCGCTGGTCACCAAGAGGCCCAGAGCTGCATCTGTGTATGCTGTTGGAGACACCAGGTGTTTGGGTAAGAACAGATGATAATGACGAGCGATAACACGCATACCATGGAGAACATACAGATGAACAAAACGCATCTGTCTTCAAAAAAACGACTTTCCATCATTAAAAAAACAAATTTTCCATCGTTAAAAAACGACTTTTCCATCGTCAAAAAAACTAATTTTCCACTGTCAAAAAACGACTTTTCCATCGTCAAAAAACGACTTTTCCATCATCAAAAAAACGACTTTTCCACCGTCAAAAAACGACTTTTCCGTTGTCAAAAAACGACTTTTCCATCATCAAAAAACGACTTTTCCATCATCAAAAAACGACTTTTCCATCATCAAAAAACGACTTTTCCATCGTCAAAGAAACAATTTTTCCATCGTCATAAAAACACTTTTCCATCGTCAAAAAAACGACTTTTCCATCGTCAAAAAAACGACTTTTCCATCGTCAAAAAAACTAATTTTCCACTGTCAAAAAACGACTTTTCCATCATCAAAAAAACGACTTTTCCATCGTCAAAAAAACGACTTTTCCATCATCAAAAATACTTTTCCAACGTCAAAAAACGACTTTTCCATTGTCAAAAAACAACTTTTCCGTTGTCAAAAAACGACTTTTCCATCATCAAAAAACGACTTTTCCATCATCAAAAAACGACTTTTCCATCATCAAAAATACTTTTCCATTGTCAAAAAACGACTTTTCCGTTGTCAAAAAACGACTTTTCCATCATCAAAAAACGACTTTTCCATCATCAAAAAACGACTTTTCCATCGTCAAAGAAACAATTTTTCCATCGTCATAAAAACACTTTTCCATTGTCAAAAAACGACTTTTCCATCATCAAAAAACGACTTTTCCATCATCAAAAAACGACTTTTCCATCGTCAAAGAAACAATTTTTCCATCGTCATTTTCCATCGTCAAAAAAACGACTTTTCCATCGTCAAAAAACGACTTTTCCATCATCAAAAAACGACTTTTCCATCATCAAAAAACGACTTTTCCATCATCAAAAAACGACTTTTCCATCGTCAAAGAAACAATTTTTCCATCGTCATAAAAACACTTTTCCATTGTCAAAAAAACGACTTTTCCGTCATAATAAAACTACTTTTCCATCATCAAAAAACGACTTTTCCATCATCAAAAATACTTTTCCATTGTCAAAAAACGACTTTTCCGTTGTCAAAAAACGACTTTTCCATCATCAAAAAACGACTTTTCCATCGTCAAAAAACGACTTTTCCATCATCAAAAAACGACTTTTCCATCGTCAAAGAAACAATTTTTCCATCGTCATAAAAACACTTTTCCATTGTCAAAAAAACGACTTTTCCGTCATAATAAAACTACTTTTCCATCATCAAAAAACGACTTTTCCATCGTCAAAGAAACAATTTTTCCATTGTCAAAAAAACAACTTTCCATCGTCAAAAAAACAACTTTTCCATTGTCAAAAAAACGACTTTTCCATTGTCAAAAAAACGACTTTTCCGTCATAATAAAACTACTTTTCCATCATCAAAAAACGACTTTTCCATCATCAAAAATACTTTTCCATTGTCAAAAAACAACTTTTCCATCATCAAAAACGACTTTTCCATAGTCAAAAAAACGACTTTTCCATCATCAAAAAACAACTTTTCCATTGTCAAAAAAACGACTTTTCCATTGTCAAAAAACGACTTTTCCATCATCAAAAAACGACTTTTCCATCGTCAAAGAAACAATTTTTCCATTGTCAAAAAAACAACTTTTCCATTGTCAAAAAAACGACTTTTCCATTGTCAAAAAAACGACTTTTCCGTCATAATAAAACTACTTTTCCATCATCAAAAAACGACTTTTCCATCATCAAAAATACTTTTCCATTGTCAAAAAACAACTTTTCCATCATCAAAAACGACTTTTCCATAGTCAAAAAAACGACTTTTCCATCATCAAAAAACAACTTTTCCATTGTCAAAAAAACGACTTTTCCATTGTCAAAAAACGACTTTTCCATCATCAAAAAACGACTTTTCCATCGTCAAAAAAACGACTTTTCCACTGTCAAAAAACGACTTTTCCATCATCAAAAAAACGACTTTTCCATCATCAAAAAAACGACTTTTCCATCGTCAAAAAACGACTTTTCCATCATCAAAAAAACGACTTTTCCATCATCAAAAATACTTTTCCATTGTCAAAAAATACTTTTCCATTGTCAAAAAACAACTTTTCCATCGTCATAAAAACACTTTTCCATCATCAAAAAACAACTTTTCCATTGTCAAAAAAACGACTTTTCCATTGTCAAAAAACGACTTTTCCATCATCAAAAAACGACTTTTCCATCGTCAAAGAAACAATTTTTCCATTGTCAAAAAAACAACTTTTCCATTGTCAAAAAAACGACTTTTCCATTGTCAAAAAAACGACTTTTCCGTCATAATAAAACTACTTTTCCATCATCAAAAAACGACTTTTCCATCATCAAAAATACTTTTCCATTGTCAAAAAACAACTTTTCCATCATCAAAAACGACTTTTCCATAGTCAAAAAAACGACTTTTCCATCATCAAAAAACAACTTTTCCATTGTCAAAAAAACGACTTTTCCATTGTCAAAAAACGACTTTTCCATCATCAAAAAACGACTTTTCCATCGTCAAAAAAACGACTTTTCCACTGTCAAAAAACGACTTTTCCATCATCAAAAAAACGACTTTTCCATCATCAAAAAAACGACTTTTCCATCGTCAAAAAACGACTTTTCCATCATCAAAAAAACGACTTTTCCATCATCAAAAATACTTTTCCATTGTCAAAAAATACTTTTCCATTGTCAAAAAACAACTTTTCCATCGTCATAAAAACACTTTTCCATCATCAAAAAACAACTTTTCCATTGTCAAAAAAACGACTTTTCCATTGTCAAAAAACGACTTTTCCATCATCAAAAAACGACTTTTCCATCGTCAAAGAAACAATTTTTCCATTGTCAAAAAAACAACTTTTCCATTGTCAAAAAAACGACTTTTCCATTGTCAAAAAAACGACTTTTCCGTCATAATAAAACTACTTTTCCATCATCAAAAAACGACTTTTCCATCATCAAAAATACTTTTCCATTGTCAAAAAACAACTTTTCCATCATCAAAAACGACTTTTCCATAGTCAAAAAAACGACTTTTCCATCATCAAAAAACAACTTTTCCATTGTCAAAAAAACGACTTTTCCATTGTCAAAAAACGACTTTTCCATCATCAAAAAACGACTTTTCCATCGTCAAAAAAACGACTTTTCCACTGTCAAAAAACGACTTTTCCATCATCAAAAAAACGACTTTTCCATCATCAAAAAAACGACTTTTCCATCGTCAAAAAACGACTTTTCCATCATCAAAAAAACGACTTTTCCATCATCAAAAATACTTTTCCATTGTCAAAAAATACTTTTCCATTGTCAAAAAACAACTTTTCCATCGTCATAAAAACACTTTTCCATCATCAAAAAACAACTTTTCCATTGTCAAAAAAACGACTTTTCCATTGTCAAAAAACGACTTTTCCATCATCAAAAAACGACTTTTCCATCGTCAAAGAAACAATTTTTCCATTGTCAAAAAAACAACTTTTCCATTGTCAAAAAAACGACTTTTCCATTGTCAAAAAAACGACTTTTCCGTCATAATAAAACTACTTTTCCATCATCAAAAAACGACTTTTCCATCATCAAAAATACTTTTCCATTGTCAAAAAACAACTTTTCCATCATCAAAAACGACTTTTCCATAGTCAAAAAAACGACTTTTCCATCATCAAAAAACAACTTTTCCATTGTCAAAAAAACGACTTTTCCATTGTCAAAAAACGACTTTTCCATCATCAAAAAACGACTTTTCCATCGTCAAAAAAACGACTTTTCCACTGTCAAAAAACGACTTTTCCATCATCAAAAAAACGACTTTTCCATCATCAAAAAAACGACTTTTCCATCGTCAAAAAACGACTTTTCCATCATCAAAAAAACGACTTTTCCATCGTCAAAAAAACGACTTTTCCATCATCAAAAATACTTTTCCATTGTCAAAAAATACTTTTCCATTGTCAAAAAACAACTTTTCCATCGTCATAAAAACACTTTTCCATCGTCAAAAAAACGACTTTTCCATCGTCAAAAAAACTACTTTCCATCATCAAAAAACTACTTTTCCATCATCAAAAAACTACTTTCCATCATCAAAAAACTACTTTTCCATTGTCAAAAAACGACTTTTCCATCATCAAAAAACTACTTTTCCATTGTCAAAAAACGACTTTTCCATCATCAAAAATTATTGTCGTTTTTTGACAATAGAAAAGTAGTTTTTTGATGATGGAAAAGTCGTTTTTAAATGATGGAAAAGTCGCTTTTTTTGATGATGGAAATGTCGTTTTTAAATGATGGAAAAGTCGTTTTTTCGATGATGGAAGTTGTTTTTAAATGATGGAAAAGTCATTTTTAAATGATGGAAAAGTCGTTTTTAAATGATGGAAAAGTCGTTTTTTGATGATGGAAATGTCGTTTTTAAATGATGGAAAAGTCGTTTTTAAATGATGGAAAAGTCGTTTTTTCAATGATGGAAAAGTCGTTTTTAAATGATGGAAAAGTCGTTTTTAAATGATGGAAAAGTCGTTTTTAAATGATGGAAAAGTCGTTTTTTCGATGATGGAAAAGTCGTTTTTAAATGATGGAAAAGTCGTTTTTTCGATGATGGAAAAGTCGTTTTTAAATGATGGAAAAGTCGTTTTTAAATGATGGAAAAGTCGTTTTTTTAATGATGGAAAAGACGTTTTTTTGACGCTGGAAAAGTCGTTTTTTCCGATGATTGAAATGTCGTTTTTTTTGACGATAGAAAAGTCGTTTTTAAATTATGGAAAAGACGCTTTTTTGACGCTGGAAAAGTCGTTTTTTCGATGATGAAAATGTCGTTTTTTTGACGATGGAAAAGTAGTTTTTCGATGAAGGAAAATTTTTGATGATGGAAAATTAGTTTTTTTGATGATGGAAAAGTAGTTTTTAAATGATGGAAAAGTCGCTTTTTTGATGATGGAAATGTCGTTTTTAAATGATGGAAAAGTCGTTTTTTCGATGATGGAAGTTGTTTTTAAATGATGGAAAAGTCATTTTTAAATGATGGAAAAGTCGTTTTTAAATGATGGAAAAGTCGTTTTTCAATGATGGAAAAGTCATTTTTAAATGATGGAAAAGTCGTTTTTTCAATGATGGAAAAGTCGTTTTTAAATGATGGAAAAGTCGTTTTTAAATGATGGAAATGTCGTTTTTAAATGATGGAAAAGTCATTTTTAAATGATGGAAAAGTCGTTTTTTCAATGATGGAAAAGTCGTTTTTAAATGATGGAAAAGTCGTTTTTAAATGATGGAAAAGTCGTTTTTAAATGATGGAAGTCGTTTTTTCGATGATGGAAAAGTCGTTTTTAAATGATGGAAAAGTCGTTTTTAAATTATGGAAAAGTCGTTTTTTTAATGATGGAAAAGTCGTTTTTCGATGATGGAAAAGACGTTTTTTTGACGCTGGAAAAGTCGTTTTTTCCGATGATTGAAATGTCGTTTTTTTTGACGATAGAAAAGTCGTTTTTAAATTATGGAAAAGACGCTTTTTTGACGCTGGAAAAGTCGTTTTTTCGATGATGAAAATGTCGTTTTTTTGACGATGGAAAAGTAGTTTTTCGATGAAGGAAAATTAGTTTTTTTGACGCTGGAAAAGTCGTTTTTTCGATGATGGAAAAGTCATTTTTAAGTGATGGAAAAGTCGCTTTTTTGATGATGGAAAAGTCGTTTTTAAATGATGGAAAAGTCGCTTTTTTGATGATGGAAAATTAGTTTTTTTGATGATGGAAAAGTAGTTTTTAAATGATGGAAAAGTCGCTTTTTTTGATGATGGAAATGTCGTTTTTAAATGATGGAAAAGTCGTTTTTTCGATGATGGAAGTTGTTTTTAAATGATGGAAAAGTCATTTTTAAATGATGGAAAAGTCGTTTTTAAATGATGGAAAAGTCGTTTTTCAATGATGGAAAAGTCGCTTTTTTTGATGATGGAAATGTCGTTTTTAAATGATGGAAAAGTCGTTTTTTCAATGATGGAAAAGTCGTTTTTAAATGATGGAAAAGTCGTTTTTAAATGATGGAAAAGTCGTTTTTAAATGATGGAAAAGTCGTTTTTTCAATGATGGAAAAGTCGTTTTTAAATGATGGAAAAGTCGTTTTTAAATGATGGAAGTCGTTTTTTCGATGATGGAAAAGTCGTTTTTAAATGATGGAAAAGTCGTTTTTTTAATGATGGAAAAGTCGTTTTTAAATGATGGAAAAGTCGTTTTTAAATGATGGAAAAGTCGTTTTTAAATGATGGAAGTCGTTTTTTCGATGATGGAAAAGTCGTTTTTAAATGATGGAAAAGTCGTTTTTTCAATGATGGAAAAGTCGTTTTTAAATGATGGAAAAGTCGTTTTTAAATGATGGAAAAGTCGTTTTTAAATGATGGAAGTCGTTTTTTCGATGATGGAAAGTCGTTTTTAATGATGGAAAGTCGTTATGGAAAAGACGCTTTTTTGACGCTAGAAAAGTCGTTTTTTTCGATGATGAAAATGTCGTTTTTTTGACGATGGAAAAGTAGTTTTTCGATGAAGGAAAATTAGTTTTTTTGACGCTGGAAAAGTCGTTTTTTCGATGGAAAAGTCATTTTTAAGTGATGGAAAAGTCGCTTTTTTGATGATGGAAAAGTCGTTTTTAAATGATGGAAAAGTCGCTTTTTTGATGATGGAAAATTAGTTTTTTTGATGATGGAAAAGTAGTTTTTAAATGATGGAAAAGTCGCTTTTTTTGATGATGGAAATGTCGTTTTTAAATGATGGAAAAGTCGTTTTTAAATGATGGAAAAGTCGTTTTTCAATGATGGAAAAGTCGCTTTTTTTGATGATGGAAATGTCGTTTTTAAATGATGGAAAAGTCGTTTTTAAATGATGGAAAAGTCGTTTTTAAATGATGGAAAAGTCGTTTTTAAATGATGGAAAAGTCGTTTTTCAATGATGGAAAAGTCGCTTTTTTTGATGATGGAAATGTCGTTTTTAAATGATGGAAAAGTCGTTTTTTCAATGATGGAAAAGTCGTTTTTAAATGATGGAAAAGTCGTTTTTAAATGATGGAAAAGTCGTTTTTAAATGATGGAAAAGTCGTTTTTTCAATGATGGAAAAGTCGTTTTTAAATGATGGAAAAGTCGTTTTTAAATTATGGAAGTCGTTTTTTCGATGATGGAAAAGTCGTTTTTAAATGATGGAAAAGTCGTTTTTTTAATGATGGAAAAGTCGTTTTTCGATGATGGAAAAGACGTTTTTTTTGACGCTGGAAAAGTCGTTTTTTCGATGATGGAAAAGTCATTTTTAAGTGATGGAAAAGTCGCTTTTTTGATGAAGGAAAATTTGTTTTTTTGATGATGGAAAAGTCGTTTTTAAATGATGGAAAAGTCGCTTTTTTTGATGATGGAAATGTCGTTTTTAAATGATGGAAAAGTCGTTTTTTCGATGATGGAAGTTGTTTTTAAATGATGGAAAAGTCGTTTTTCAATGATGGAAAAGTCGCTTTTTTTGATGATGGAAATGTCGTTTTTCAATGATGGAAAAGTCGTTTTTAAATGATGGAAAAGTCGTTTTTAAATGATGGAAAAGTCGTTTTTTCGATGATGGAAAAGTCGTTTTTAAATGATGGAAAAGTCGTTTTTTCAATGATGGAAAAGTCGTTTTTAAATGATGGAAAAGTCGTTTTTAAATGATGGAAAAGTCGTTTTTTCAATGATGGAAAAGTCGTTTTTAAATGATGGAAAAGTCGTTTTTAAATGATGGAAAAGTCGTTTTTCGATGATGGAAAAGACGTTTTTTTGACGCTGGAAAAGTTGTTTTTTCCGATGATTGAAATGTCGTTTTTTTTGACGATAGAAAAGTCGTTTTTAAATTATGGAAAAGACGCTTTTTTGACGCTGGAAAAGTCGTTTTTAAATGATGGAAAAGTCGTTTTTAAATGATGGAAAAGTCGTTTTTTCGATGATGGAAAAGTCGTTTTTAAATGATGGAAAAGTCGTTTTTAAATGATGGAAAAGTCGTTTTTTCGATGATGGAAAAGTCGTTTTTTCGATGATGGAAAAGTCGTTTTTAAATGATGGAAAAGTCGTTTTTAAATGATGGAAAAGTCGTTTTTCAATGATGGAAAAGTCGTTTTTAAATGATGGAAAAGTCGTTTTTTGATGATGGAAAAGTCGTTTTTAAATGATGGAAATGTCGTTTTTAAATGATGGAAAAGTCGTTTTTAAATGATGGAAAAGTCGTTTTTAAATGATGGAAAAGTCGTTTTTAAATGATGGAAAAGTCGCTTTTTTTGATGATGGAAATGTCGTTTTTAAATGATGGAAAAGTCGTTTTTTCGATGATGGAAAAGTCGTTTTTAAATGATGGAAAAGTCGTTTTTTCAATGATGGAAATGTCGTTTTTAAATGATGGAAAAGTCGTTTTTAAATGATGGAAAAGTCGTTTTTCGATGATGGAAAAGACGTTTTTTTGACGCTGGAAAAGTTGTTTTTTCCGATGATTGAAATGTCGTTTTTTTTGACGATAGAAAAGTCGTTTTTAAATTATGGAAAAGACGCTTTTTTGACGCTGGAAAAGTCGTTTTTAAATGATGGAAAAGTCGTTTTTAAATGATGGAAAAGTCGTTTTTAAATGATGGAAAAGTCGTTTTTCAATGATGGAAAAGTCGTTTTTTTATGATGGAAAAGTCGTTTTTTTTAGATGAAAAGTTTTCATAAAACTAATTTAGCTTCTTTTTTTTAACAGTTTTTAAGCACAGTAGGTGTGTTTGAAGATCAGACATTTTGATCATAAAGCCTCTTCAGTCACTGATTGATTGCTGGATGCAGTTCTCTGTTGATCAATAAAGCCGTTTGTTTGACCACTGTTCTCTAAATCAGCTTCATCATGTTCACATCATCAGTGTGGTATATCAGGAACAAAAGACAAACTCAGAGAATGAGACATGAAGCAGACGAATACACAATATATACCAGATAAACATCAGGGTGTATATATATATGTGTGTGTGTGTGTGTCAGGATTCCAGCAGGTCTCAGATGTAGATATAGAAACTGTGTGTGTGTGTGTGTGTGTGTGTGTGTGTGTGTGTGTGTGTGTGTGTAATGCCGAGTTTAGACTGCAGGATTTTAGCTGAATTTTGACTCGCCGACAGATCACAGGTAAATCGGTGTTCCTGCATGTGTGTGACAATCACAGTGTGAACTATCAAAGACGTGATCTGAGAGAGTCGCCGAGGCCTGAGATATTTGGCGTGCTGAATATCTGGAGCTGTCAGCGATTCAAATCCTGCTGTGTGACTGAAAATAACATCAGCGACCACCAACAGCCAATCAGAGAGCAGCATTCACTAGTGTGTGTGTGTGTGTGTTTGTGTTTTTGGCTGTGAGACGTAGTTTGGACGAAGTTGTCGAAGATTCTTCCTATTGTTAAGTCCTGCAGTGTGAACATCAGGGACGGAACGCCAGCCCAGACAGTCCTGCAGTGTGAACTCGGCATCAGGGCAGACGTGTTTTCATGCTTTAGTGTTTGTAAATCACATTAAAGGTGGAATCTCTCTGACAGACCCGTGTGTGTGTGTGTGTGTGTGTGTGTGTTTCAGTGATAGACGTGCAGGCCTTCGAGCGTCTGCTGGGCTCCTGTAAGCAGATCCTCAAGAGGAACATCACACACTACGAGCAGCAGCTGGTGGCGGTGTTCGGATCCAGCGTCGACCTCAAACACTGACACACACACACACACACACACACACCTCAAAAATATATATAAAGTGTGTGTGTTAACGGCAAAACTATCGGTCCTCCTGTTTTCCTCCAGATACTCCCAGAGTGCCGTTGGGCAGGGGGGAGATGTGGTCAGTGTATTTGCAGCTCTTCTTCATTAAGGTCTGAGTGAAGCTTCAGTTCAGTTCAGTTCAGTTCAGCAGTGTTACAGCAGCTCAGTGAACTGACCCCACAGCACCCTCCACTCCAACATCAGCCCGGCCAAACACATCACTGACCAGACACACACACGCAACACCATGACATGTGCTGTTCAACTGCCTATGAGCACGCACGCACGCACACACACACACACACACAGCTGAACTCAAGAGTGTATTTATGTGCAGCTCAGCATGAGAATGTTTGATGAATCTGTCTGACACACACACACACACGCGCGTGCGCGCACACACACACACACACGCGCGCGCGCACGCACACACGCACGCACACACACACACACACAGCAGGATGTGTAACAGGTTTAGAAGTGTGCACTGTAGAGTGTGCTGTAAATGCTGCTCTAGTATCTTCTGCACACACACACACACACATACACATACACAGATAGATTCTCCCCCTGCTGATGTTGTGTGTGTGTGTGTGTGTGTGTGTGTGTGTGTGTGGTCAATAAAGTCTGGAATAAGGACAGAAGTGTGTGTTTTCTGGTCATTTTTGTTTATTTGAGTAAGAAAGTGTGAAGTGCCGCCTGACGCAGCGGCCGCAGTATTTACAGTTCATCATTGCGCATCAGTCCGTCTCCGCTCGTCCGGCCGCCGCAAACCTTTAAATATTTAAAATATGTACAGTCCTCCATGATCAGTGCGTCTGCGGGCACCGCTGCGGTTAAAAACACACACTCTCACACACACACACACACACACACACACACACACACACACACACACACAGGTACAGTTCAGACGGAGGTGATGACGATCATCAGGTGAGGGGAGATGCTGGAGATCTGGCTGAGCAGATCCGGAGCCAGGCGGGACAGGTGACTCTCCGAAAACTCACACGGCGGGAAAATCTGCAGGACGAACGCCGGCTGCGGAGAACACAGGCTAGCGTTAGCATCAGCAGCGCACATCACTACATCATCACAGCTACAATCCACGATACATCTAGATTACTTGTGTAGAGGACTTCTGGACTACTTTCAGACGATTACTCCTGAATTATACTCACATTACATCTGTGACGCTTTCTCGATTACTTTTAGATTACTTTTGTCAATTATTTCTGGACTACATTTAAATTATTTCGTATATTACTATTGGATTACATTTACATTACAGAAGTTATCCAAACACTGTACAAAGTGGACTGATGTAAAGTACTTGTGGATTACATTTAGATTACTTTTGTAGAGTACTTTTTTACTTTTGAGAATACTTTTGTAGATTGTTTGATTACAGTTAGATTACATTTGTGGAGTACTTTTTGGATTACACTTAAATTACTTTAGGATTGCATTTATACTACTTTAGTAGATTACTTTGATTACAGTTAGATAACATTTACAAAAGTAATCTAAATGCAATCTACAAAAAGTAATTTAAATGTAATCCAAAAGTAATCTGCAAAACTAATCCAACAGTTATCTACAAAAGAGCACATGTAATATAAATGTAATCCAGGTTATCTACAAAAGAGCACACATGTAATCTAACTAATCAAAGTAATCTACAGAAGTCATTTAAATGTAAAGTACTTTATTTTTTGGATTACATTTAAATTAATGTTGTAGATTGCATTTATAGTACTTTTGTAGTGATTTGTTTTGTAGTACAAAAGTAATTTAAACAGATTAGTTTTTGATTACATTTAGATTACATATGTGCTCTTTTGTAGATAACAGACTACCTTTAGATTACTTTAGTAGATTACATTTGGATTACTTTTGCAGAATATTCTTAGATTACAGTTAGATAAGATTTGCACTGTAGATCACTTTTGTGCTTCTTTGTAGATCACAGATTTGAATTAGATTTAAGATTACCTTTGTGTTTATTTCTTTAGTACTTCTGGATTACATTTGCATTAAGAGTTTTGCGTAAATGTTTACGTCACTAATGTTGAAGCAGGATATTTTATTTTAACAGAGAGAAATAAAAGATAAACAGAAGCTTCAAAATAAAGTGCAAAGGTGGACATTGAACAGTCAGTTATATAGAAAACAGCGACTTTACCAAAAAACACCAGTGAAAATCCACAGCAGTACAACTGCAGCATCACACGCTTAAACTAAAGACAGTGGAAGAGCAGATGAGCGTATTCATGCAGCACGAGTATTTCAGAAAGTACTTTAGTTCATTTACTAGTGCAGGAAAACGACTCGTCCTCCGCTAACACTTCATTTCTTTAGTCAGATATTTCCCAAGCGACGTTTACCAGCACAATGACCGCTTTCACTGTATTTCCTATAACACTAAATATTACTAAAATATTATTATCAGTAGTCAATAACTTTAAGATCTTTTCAAGCAAACCACTGTTGTTGAATGAGTTGCCTAATTACCCTAGAGAAGCCTTTAAATGTCAGGAAGCTGAACCCTGGTGTCCTGAAGAGTATCTAGTCTAATACTGTGCGCTGTCATCATGGAGAAGAGAAATGAGCTGTTTAAACTGATGTAGAGAACGGGGAAAGCTTACAAACGAAGCAACACGGCGAGTAGGATGCACTGTTGTGGTTAAGTGTAGTGTGTGTGTGTGTTGTACCTGATTAGAGCCGGGGTTGGGCACGTTGATGATGCCCGCTGCCAGCTTGGCCTGCAGGTAATTAATGAAGGCAGATTTGAGCGCCTGCGTCTGGTTCAGCACATCCTCCTGGTCCAGACCACAGGGCATCGCCAGCAGCAGACAGAAATCACTCTCACCCTGCAGAAACACACACACACACACACACACATCACCATCTAAATGTACTTATTTAAAATGTATTCGTGAGTCAGGATGGTGGGGAAAGCTAGCCACTCAACACTGGACTCAAACAATCAATACATTTCAGATTATATTATGGTCTGTCATGCGTGTTACACCAGGGGTGTCTAAAGTGACAAACTCATTTCTGTATAGTGAAGCTGCGCCTCCACACCACATACCGTCATCCTGCGAGCGACTCCCTCCAGTTGCTGCGCCTCCAGACGCATTCTCTGGACGATGCGCAGGATTCCTCCGCTCTCGGGCAGAGGCAGAGAACGCAGACCAAGAGCTTTATTTCCACACAAGAAGTGCAGTTGAACTGCTGCCGTATCGTTCTTCAGCGCCAGCAGGCCTTGCCATACAATAGGGTATTTCTGTGGAGCGAGAACAAGGTTAGAAAACAATTTCATACTCTGGGTTAAGCTGAACTCATCAGCCTTGGGTCTAGAGATGCAGTCACCAATCTCAGTCCTGGAGGGCTAATGTCCGGCAGAGTTTAGCTCTAACTTACCTCAGCACACCTGGCTGGAAGTTTCAAGTATAGCCTGATTAGCTTGTTCAGGCGTGTTTGATTAGGGTTGGAGCTAAACTCTGCATGACGTCGGCCCTCCAGGACCAAGTCTGTTTACCCTGGTCTAAAGACTTACCGTCAGAAGCTGCACCATGTTCACTGGCTGATGTGAAGCTAGCTCTACTTTAGATTCAGCTTGTGCCTGACTGGACTCTGGCTCCTGGACACCCTTTGTGTAAAGAGAAATAAGAAACCGGCATTAGCACAGCTCTAAATGAGGGCACATTTAAATCAAGATCAAGCATGTGAAACCTCACCTGTGTGGGTGTGATGCTGAGCGCAGGCTGGCTAATCCCCATTGGAGAACTGTCAGCAAACTGACCATGGGCAGGCCGTAGGTTTGTGTACAGGGCTGGATATTCAGGGAAAGACGGCCCTGCTCCTGCGGGCAGCAGCTGGACTCTCTGAGGGGAGGCCATGTGTGGCATTGCAGTACGGATAGCCAGCATGCCCTCCTTCCCCGGAGGAGACAGAGGTCTCTTCAGCTCAGAGATCTTCAAGGGCTCCTTCTCAGATGTGGCTTTCGCCAGCAGGTGTGGGCGAGGGGAGAGCGATGCCGCCATGCTGGTTGGTGTGGAGGCGGCAGGCAGGGTGTCGGACAGGTGCCCCTGGTGTAGTTCTGCCGCAGGGCGGTCGGTCTGCTGGTGGTGCAGAAGAACTCTCATGTCTCTCTGTGACATGTTGAATCGGTCGAGCTGTAAACTACTGTGGAGAGCTTCGCGATATTCTGCTGGTATGGATTCTGGTTTCAAGTGAGCCGCCGTTGGCCTTCCGTGAGTTGCATGGTAACGTCTGGCCTCTTCTTCTCCTCCGTCATGGCTTCTTGCAGTGGCTTGATTGACCTTCAGGACCATTTCCCTGTTAGCTACGGCTTGGGGAGATGTGGGACGCTGCTGGCCAGGAGCCCAGGAGGAGGTCAGGCTCTCGGAGCGAATGGCATAGTTCATCATAGATAGAGGAGGAGTGTTTACTCTCACGTCACCCTGAGGAATGTGTCCCATTGGGCCGACGCGGTGTGGCGACATCCTTCCGATGCTACCGTGAGCATTGTGTGGCGGCATGATCACTGACTGCTCAGAGTGGTGCACAGTGGAAACATACTGGGACAGAGGTAGTCCAGGCGGAAGGACCATAGACACACCTTTAGGAGACGAAGAGCCGATAGGAGATGACACTTTGGCAAAAGAAGAATGAGGGTGACCAGACTTCCTGGGAGATCGCGGCTCCTGCTTTGATGTGCCCGTAATGAACCCTACATGATTACTGGTTGCTGAGGGAAGATGTGGACTTAAAGTAGGACTCATAGTTGGAACCCAGGCAGGCTTCCCACCCTCCATGCCAAGAGACTCAGGATTATCTCCCTTCTTGGGATGCTTCATGACTATGGGGTATTCTGCAGGATGGTAACTCATGACTTGTGATGTGCCCGGAGTTTGTTGCAATATTTTAACTACTCCGCTTTGAACTGAAGAGTAAAGAGACTCGGATTTGTCAAGAGCAGACTCTTGCTTTATAGTGGAGATATTGCCTTGTGGTTTTATCGAATGTCCATGCTCTGATGCAAGTGGGTATTTTGTTGATGGTGGCTGGGAAGAAGCACTGTAAAGTTCCTGCTTGATTGGGTGCATGGACACTAGTTGCTGTGACTCCATGTCCATTGGACTAGCCGGTGGGATCTGGCTGATTTTGGCACTTATTCGCTGTGGCCCCTCCATCTTCTGGCCAGAATGACTCAGCACCACCACACCTTCTGATGTCTGAACCCGGAGTCCTGTGCTGGAGCCTGTGCTCAAAGGTGTGCTCTCTGTAATATAGCGACTAGCATCCTCCCCAACTGTTGGACCATGACAAATACTGCTTTCCTCCAAACTTGGCTGGTAAATCTGTTTGGGAGGTTGTTTCTCAAGAAAGGGGTTTCCAGTTTGAGAACTTGGCTTCTCCTCTGAGTCAAGGGGATTGCAAACTCGACTGATGACAGAAGTAGGAGTGGAAGCAATAACTGAAATCACTGACTTCTCACTGTAGATTGGTTTTATCTCTGGAGATGGTATAGAAGCAGGCTGTCGAACAACAGGTTGGGCTGAAACAGAGGATTGCCTATTATCTTGAGGAGCACTTTTGCTGGTTACCATATCTGATGTAACGTTACTGT